GCCTTTAATATGTTTTGTTTTGTTGGACAACATTGGGCGGCAAGTCAAATATTAAATACAGATTTTTAAAATACAAATACAAAAATGAAAATACCGATATATACACCGTATATCGCAAATCGCCCAAAAAATACAGAGATATTAATTTTTGCCCATATCACCCAGCCCTTATTGCAGCTGTTCAATTTAGTTGATGTTCATGCTCTATTTCTCATACTCCCCATCTCTCCTTTACTCTCCCCTTCTCACTCAAGTTCAGTCTTTTTTTTTTCTTCAGAGGTATTTACACTTGCTCAGTTAATTTATATTGCTCTGATTGCTATACGATCATGAAAAGTGAGTGAGTGCTCCGCAAAATGCATTTGTGTGTTCACATAACACTATTTTCAGCTTAAAAACGGACAACTTGTTATGCATTTTGGCCGTTCATTTACATAACATTGGCGTTTTGGGGGCCTGCACACATAAACTTTTGAAAACGGGTTTCAAAGTGCATGTTTTTGAAAACAATACTTTTGTCGTCTCTGTGTAAACTACATGCGCATTCATGTTCGGTCTATAGGAATGTGTGCATGCACAGGTGTAGTGTTTTTTTTACAAAGTGACATTGCCATCATGGATACTATGGTACAAGACGCACTGGCCTGGCATGCAAAATACAGCGTTTTATTCGTTTTTGCAGATCCATCTGAACTGGGATTGTTTTGACAACATTGATGTCTGTACATGAAACTTTTCAAAGATGCAAAATAATTTTTTTTCGGAAATTAGTATAATCGTTGTCGTGTATACATACCTTCAGACCACCTCAGAAGTGGTTTAAAACACATACAAGATGTTTCTGAAATGCGTCTTGTTCCGGCCAAATATAAAAATGTGCTCCTCCAGATCTCAGAATTCAAACACTATTTTCCATTTGAGCCGAAGAGAGCATTCAGCAGAAAAATTCACTGCTCTGCATTAGCATCCATATAGTCTGGGAACAGCAGATCTGATTAATATCCATTTTGCTTAGACACAAACCCAATCGGATAGCAATCTGATCGATTAAGTGTAAATACCCATTTTGTCTTCCCTTCTTCACTCTGATGGTCTGTAACTCTATGCTTTCTCTCTGACTCTTTCTGAGCCTCTCTCTTACTCTTTTCTCTTTCTTGTGTCTTTTAACTCAGTGTCATTTTAATCTCTTTATGCCTACCCTCTATTGTCCTCAAGTTTTTCTTTGTTATATCGCATAGCTTAGCGTTCCTTCCTTCATTCGGTGTCTCAGTCTTTCTCTCATCCTCTCTGTCTCTGTCTTTCCTGTCCCTCCCCCTCCTCTCCATGTGTTTTTGGCTCAGTACTGAGGTGAGTCAGCCTCTTGGACTCCTAATCAGAGTCACTGTGAGCGTCACCGTGTGTCAGAGTTCCAGCCTGTATTCCTTTATTTGTCCCTTTTTCTTCCCTCTCTCCACCTTTACCTTTTGCTGTAGAATAAAATCTCAAAGACGTTCCCAGACATGCTAGGCAGTGAGATCTGTCAAGCCAGATTGTCCTATGGTCCAGTTGTTCCTCCATCTGGTTGTTGGCAATGCAGATCTTCTGCTGCTTCTCCCCGTGATACCGTCAGGCTTACGCCGGGTGTCTAGGAATCTTCATCCTGTTCCTTGTCGTTCACTGTGCATTGACGTTAGCTTTTATCGTCGTCACATGCAGATTTGTTTATCCCGTTTGACTGCTTCTTTCTCCATCTCTCTCGCTCTCTCTTTCTTTCCCCCTGAAGCTCCGGCCCTCATAATGCTCAGTGTCAGACTCAGACATAAATGTAGATGGGCAGGGTAAACAGCGCAGCGGCCATGTGGTGCTTAGCGACCTTGGATGCGATGGCTTATCCTTGCTGTCTCCTGGGATTTTCTCAATGTGTTTTCCTGCATGAGTGGAAGTGTTTTGTCCGTAACAACATCATGGTGGAATGGACAGATAGAAAGTTATGGGTCCTGACAGCTGGGATGTGCGGCAATCCATCCATCCATCTATCTATCTATCTATCTATCTATCTATAGTTCAATCTATGGTTCATTCTCTGTTTGTCTATGTATATGTTTTCTGTCTTTAGTTCAAAATATCATTCATTTTATGCCTGTCATTCTAGCTATCATTCTATCTGTCTGTCTGTCTGTCTAACTATCTCTGTTTTCTCTGTCTTTAGTTCAGTCTATCATTCATTCTACCTGTCTGTCTATGTTTCAATCTATCGTTCATTCTATCTGTCTGTTTATCTATCCATCTTTCTGTCTATAGTTAAATTTATCATTTATTCTATCTGTTTGCCTATCTGTATTTAGTTCAATCTATCTATCTATCAATCATCGCTCTCATCTAGTCATTGTTGCTGATATTCTGGTCTTATGAGTAGATCTGCTTTACGTTAACTCACTTTATCTGTCTTTCTCTATTTACTCCTCACTCTTGTTCACTGGTCTCCTCCAGAGCTGCGCTGCTGTGCATGGCTCTATCCGTCTCTCCAGAGTGGGTTAGGTTGATTGAGGAAATGGCTCTGAGGCCCAAAGGCTCTGCTGTACTTACAGAGAGAGAGCCCAGCAATTAAAAGACACACGCTCACACACACATGCACGGGATGCAATTAATGCATTCTGAGATCCAAATCAGTCTGGAGTGGAAAAAAAAGAAAAAAACTTGATTGAGGAAATGGCTCTGAGGCCCAAAGGCTCTGCTGTACTTACAGAGAGAGAGCCCAGCAATTAAAAGACACGCTCACACACACATGCACGGGATGCAATTAATGCATTCTGAGATCCAAATCAGTCTGGAGTGGAAAAAAAAGAAAAAAAATCAGATGCAGATAGAACAAGGACTGGTACATTCTGTTTTGATGTGATTAACCCCATCACAATATTGTTATTCTATTGCGTCAATAGTTTAGGACTGTTGTAAATTAGTTCAATGAATCAAGCCAATGCTAAACTCAATTTCACTGATATTGAGCTAAATTAAATAGACCTAAATTGAATAGAGAGAGGTGGGGGAGTTAGAGAGCATGTGTACTGCAGCTAGACAGGGTCTCATTCACTAATAATTACGTACATGTGCACCGTGAAGGTTCTCATGCAGAATTTCTTCAATATTCACAACACAATTTTGGCCACGATTTTGCTGTTTGAGACTTTTTGGAATCATAAAATACTTCTTTTGTCATATGGAAAAGTCATCAGACTTGGATCTTTGAGTGTGGCGTGCTCAGCATGCACGCATTTTAAAAATATACTTTTATTTCTGAAATGCAGGAATTGGTTTACAGGAATAATAATACATCACTGCTCCACTACAGCGAGTGGGAGCTGCTAAGAAGAAAAAGAAAACAAAAACCATGTAAGTCTTTGAAATTCGCCATTGTTATGGCAGCAACAGGTATGCAATAAAATATTAAAATGTCTTGTATACATTTATATAAATCAAGGTTTGCAAGACTAATCATTTTACTAGTCAACCAAATACCTGTTAACTTGTTTCTTCAAATTTCTGCTAATCTTTAAAATAGCATCCATCATTTAAAGAGATAAAATGCAAGACAGAAAATCATTCCTATTATTAAATAGAATATTTAAATAAATGTTAAACATGTGACTGACTACATGAGAAGTGCATTTTCCCAAATCTTCCACCATGAATAAATCTGCATCTAAACACACAGTTTTATCACTGAAGAGTCGTACAAATGTATCTTTTCAGTCTTCCCCTTGAGAGACAATTACCATCCCAATAGGGCTTTTGTGATGAATTTCTGAAAGTCTGTTAGCATTTTAAGCCAGGTGCCTACTGTACAATTTTCAAGGATTTTACCATATAAAACAAGATAAATCTTTCATGATTTCCAAAATTTGTGTCAGATGGCAAAGTCTCACAGTGTAAACGCAGCTTTACGCAAAGTCTCATTGGGCTCATATTGTACAATCTGACAAGTGGCAATTGTAGCAGGAAAAAACGGCACAGCATGCTCTAGGTTTTACTCTTGTTCTACATTGAATTGATGAATCTGGATTGTTGTAAATGAGGGGAGCAGTGACCGCAATTAGCAATTAGCCTACACAACCAAACCATCTCCGCATGCTGTAACGGCTTCCACACAATCTCTCCTTTACAGCCATTTATCATTCTTTGCAAACATATCCTTACTCTCGCTAAAGGCGACAGCATGAGCAGCAAGTGTGCCGTTGTCTAAAGCAGTCGAAACAGAAGAAACATCTTTTATATAGCCCTAAAGTGCACCTGCATGTTTGCATACTGTTGTTTATACGTTTGATACAGATGATTGTTTGATTGCTGGTTGGCCTCATGGACCATAGTTTCGTCACTGAACGCTACGGCTCCATTTATTGTTTTGTCTCAAAAACAGTCATTATGCCTCAATATTATGTGTTTATGCAGTCTCTAATGTTACAGGGCGATTGTTTTCAGGCACATCATTCAAAATGTTAGTGCAAACTGGGTTACGTGTCATTTCTAGTTTGTCATTTTGAATGAGTCACTGTCAACACACACACCATCAACATAGTCAAAATGATTCAGAAGTGCAAATACACAGGAAGCTAGAATACAAAATAAACATATTTATGAATCTAACGAATACAATTTTAATACTAAAGATGTCCGAATTCTTTTTTGCTACAGTTAATCTTAAATTCAGCATCTCTTGGAAGCCTCTTCTTAAAATACAATGCCTAATCATTTGCATAAATGCATCAAGCAGCACGATCACTAAATGTTTTTTTCATTTTATAGGAATGATGCGATATAAAAGCGTGATGCAACAAATCTCCTTCCCCACAGAGTGCTGGCAGTTTCGGATGGATAATTAATCTAATTTAAGGTCTTTGTGTGAATGTCAGCAGAAAATGTAGCGAGGAGCTGTCAGTTTGACTTAGCATATTCGGTAAAGGTTGCATAAGCCACATGCCTATTCCCTTATCTCGCTCTCTGTCTGTCTCTCTCTTTCCCTGCAGCGGTGGATGCAGTTCCCGTTCGGAAAGATGGGGAGCAGGTAAGTAAAACTACAACGCTTTGCATATTTAAGATTTGCTTTGCACCAAACCTCTGTCCCATGTTGTGAGCTTAAGCCCTAAGGATCACATCTACATGACGTCCCTTTGCCAAGATGATACTTGCGCGACGTCTGCATTTCTGTCCGAAGCTATTATACCTACCAAGTGCTGACATTTGTGCCTCATGGTACTTTAATGAAGTCTTTAGCTAACACGAAGACCCCCTGCGTGCCATACGCACTTCTTGCAGCCCCGTAGCGCTGAAAGTCAGAGAAAGCGTGATGGTATAATGTGTATTTGAAAAGCCTCTATATTAGATTCTCAGCAAGGCCACGAGAGCCGGACCCCAGAGGCCAGCCATTACCTTACAGTATTGCCGTAACGGCTTTGTCTCCTGGGAAGACATAGCCTCATCCGTCTTCCCTGTTTGCTGCCTGTGTTCACGTCCTACCCAAGGGCAACAGCTCTTGGCTTGTCGCTCTGCTCATCCACAGATGAATTTGGCTCAAAATCTACCATTTGGGTTCTGGTAGCAGTCCAAACCAAACGGCATGTTTAATATCTCAATACAGAGTTAAGAAGCCGCGCCAGGAGGTGGTGTCATCCCACTGTTGCTGGAGCCAATTGTGTTGTGCGTGTATGCGTTTGTGTTAGCGAGCCGCATTCGAAAAGCCACTTGCTGGTTGCTAAATTAAGAATAATAAAAATAAAAGTAAGAATTTATGTAATAAAAGATTGCCTAGCAATGGAAATCTCTCAAGAATCAGGTGGTAGTTGCTAAGTAGCAAGGCTATTTTAGTTATCTTAGTGCTAACTCAAATGCCCTGGAACTTCACAAAAATAAACTATTATAGGTTGAACTGAAAGGCCCTAGATGGGACTATTTTGTTTCACAGACTTGTATGTGTGTGTTTTTAAATAAAATATGTGTTTTTATCCTCACACAACCTCGAAAAAAGTATAAGCATCAAATTACCTAGCTAACTTCTGACTCTGAGAAATCTCCTCTAATAGGAATACATGGGATTGTGGTTTATTATTTACAGTGCTCCTTATTGATTTTGACCTTCATTTGATAACTAAGCTGTAACTAAATTTTACTTTAGACCTTTTTGTCTAAAAGTTACAAGTTAAATGTTACAAGTATTACATTATTCGACCATGGACTGACTGAAGTGCTCATTATAGTAGCAGCGCCTCAGTTATTTGCTTAGAATTTTAATTATGTTACATACATAGTTGTTTATTTATGCTAGCATTGTGAAATACCAGTTCAAGTATTACTAGAATGATTTAATAACGGATAAAAGTGCTCATTACAGTATCAGTGTCTATTATTATTTACATAACTTTTCAACCATATCATATTTATAGTTTTGTTCATTTGTATTAGTTTTGTGACACTTGACTTGAGAACTAACACTTTAAATATTGCTGGCATCTCATCTCTTTTAAAAAATGTGTAAAATCAATAATTTGATCATTGACTGATAAAAGTGCTCATGATAGTAGCAGTGTCTCTGCATTTTTTAATTAATTCACATATAGTTGTGTTTATTTCTATGGGTTTTATTACATTTGACCAGGATCACCAGAATCGTCCTGGAGGGCCGGTGTCCTGCAGAGTTTAGCTCCGATTACTTCAACACACCTGCCTGGAAGTTGTAGGTATGTTTGCTTGGGGTTGGAGCTAAACTCTGCAGGACACCGGCCCTCCAGGACTGATTTGGTGGCCTTGCATAACGCCCATACAGACACATTTTAGTAAAACCAAAAAGAAAAAAAACTACAAAGATCCCAATCCTTCTCATTAGTACATTAAATCACAGCCATCCTGTTAATAATTGTAACTTAAAAGTTGTTTTGAAAACAAATCCCATCCGAAACGTTCTTTACACAGCGTTCCACCTTAGAGTGTGTGGCAAAAACATTAATTACTTCATCACTGAGTGGAGAAGAAAACTAATTCTATGTTTTTGATTTGCACCTAGCTGCTTTTGCCCCCCCACCGAAAAGCTGTAGATGGCTGCCGTAATTGCAAGCCAGCCTCAAAAATGTATTTTTAGGAGCCAGCTCCATGTTTATGTTACAGAAGCGGCCATAAAGACTAAGATGGTGGGAAACGAATCGATTGACCCCCGAACCGTCCAAGCGTGCCTGTAGTCTGTTCAGAGTTTCTAAGGGGCCGACATTTGCCCCACGCCAACGCCATTCTGACACTGACCTCCTTTTGACCTTTCACATTGATCTCTCTCTTAATGAACAATGAGTGGCTGCTGCTGTTCGTACTGGCACCAGTGTTTGTCTCGCTGCACTGGGTGCGATGTAAACGCGATCGATCGCTTGCTGTGAGAATGTTTGGGTTGGCTAGGATTACTTACTCCAGTGCTACTCATCAAAGTCGCCTCCATCTCCTCTTGCTGCTGTCCTCATCCAGTCTAGAGACTTCTAAGGCAGACATCAACACAGATACACTATAGGTGGTTCTTCATTCATGAATATTTTACACCATATTAGTGAATTATCTGTATTACACAACAGTTTGCACAACAGTTCATAACAGATAAACAGCGTCTCGCCTCCTTCTCCTGCTTTCTGTTTATCTGTTGTTCTTCCAGATCTAGTGTTCTGTACTTGGCTTGATGTTCCTGCTGTTTCCTGCTAACTGAAATCATGCCTTTTCTTGTCTTTCACTGTATCTTTCCTATCTATTCTTCAACTGTTATCTGCTTTGCTTCTAGCAAGGACGTGCCGAGTTTTCCTGGGAAGGAATGAATGTACGTCTGGTATTGACCTTATGCCCTTCATACTTTCTGCCTCTCTTGTTTTCAGTCTCTGTTTTGTGATATTTTCGTTTTTAAATGATATGAACATCTGTTTTCTCCATCATATTACTCTCTGGGAGTATCCAGCTAATTTTTTTTAAACAAATGTTCAAAAAACATGGACAGCATCTTATGACAGATACACTCTTGTTTAAACGTTTGGAATAATTACGATTTTATAATGTTTTTAAAAGAAATCTCTTATGCTCACCAAGGCTTTTTATTTGATCAAAAATATGGTAAAACAGTACTATTGTTCAATATGATTTCTGAAGGATTATGTGACACTGGAAAATTGAGTAATGACTTCCAAAAATGTAGCTTTAAGCTTAGCTAAAACAATTATTTTAAATTGTAACAATATTTCACAATATTACTGTTTTGATCAAATAAATGCAGCCTTGGTAAGCATAAGAGACTGCTTTAAACATTAAACATAATATATATATATATATATATATATATAATTATTCCAAACTTTTGATCTGTATTGCACAATGGTGATGTTGTGAAGGTAAATGTAGTAATTACTGGAGATGTTAATATACTGAAAGGTTTGTATGAATATAAGACTCGCCTTAAATGTCTGCCATGACTCCACAGTTTTCCATCATTGGCAGGTTTCTCTGGGGGTTTGAGCTGTCCGCCAGCTGTCTTCGATAGGCCACGTCATGTTATCTGAGATTTGGCCTGTTTTTGTGACGTGTAGGTGGCAGTGGATGTGAGAGATGATAACACAGTGTGGATGACATGGAGTTAGTGACATCTGCTCTCACCTTAAAATGAAAAAAGGACAGTTACAACAAAAGTTTATGATTCTTACCAGTGATGTTTTAGCATTTTTAACTATTATATCATTTATGACCCGGTTATTCTAAAACCACCATAATGTTTTGTATTGAAGAAAAAAACTGTGAAAATACATAATGTATTATAAACAATAGAACTAATGTACATTATGCATTATCCTCCTGAGACCCAGCTATGGAGTTTTTGCCTCTGTAGTGGACATTATATTTTAGTGTATTTCTCTGAGACCTCACATGTCACAGTTTTAAGTCTGGATGTCCTGTACAGAGCACATTCAGGGCTTTCCAGAGATACCACATGACTGGATGTTTCACCCTGGCCACTCCCTCTCCTTGGTTTTTAAAAATGGGAATATAATTAAATTTTTTTTTCTTATGCTCTAAACAATGTAATGACATGAAAAAATACTAAATTCACAAAGCTTTTTATCTCTGGTTCTCAGGAGGATATATCAAACGACTGCAGATGGCGTCAATGGCTTTACGATTGTTTTTACACTGCGCAAATTAATCATGTTTACTAAACAACATTTAATTCAAATATCCACTTAATGTTTAATATTTGGCCATTTCTTTACGACAGAAAAGCTACAGCTACTGTCATTTCTTGAATATGTGGACATCAAAACGTGTAAACTCAGCGTGAGGTTTGAGCAATTATGTTGAAATTGCAATGAACCATTAAGTTGCCATATTGAGAAAGATAATGATGTATTCTCTTGTGATTTACCTTACAAATCTGATGAATTGGCGCACGTTGAGTTCCCAGATGAAGGTTATAATAAACCCAAACTCACAGCAATATGCAGAGTTTGAGACGCTCCACACATGTAAATGATAACAGTTCATGTGGAGCAGCATTTACTGTGAACGGAGCATTCAGGTACGTAACATACTCGCATGTAAATAATTAAAGCGCATATATTAAACCTGCAATTGACAATAACATTAAGCTTTATTATGATTTGTAAATTGGTTTAATATATCATGCAGCCTTAAAGAAAATGGTAATGGATAATTGTCCGTCATGGAACGCGCCACTTCCGGTATTTTGCCGGAACCTTACTCGACACGGGCAAACTACAGTCGATGATTTTTAAAATTGTGAACTGAATCTAATTATTTATTTAAAATCCTCAAAAGAATGATTGGGTTATGAATTGGCTTTCACTACTTTTCTAATTCAGTGAATCATGACTAACGAAATTTAAGTCTGTTTGCCCTACAAAGTTACTGAATTGCTTTAGAAGATTCAGAATATTGTTGAATGAACCATGTTTATGGTAAATTTTTTGTAATTTTGACAATCCTCATTTACTTTCTTACAAATTAAGAAATGATGAGTAAATGACAACATTTTCATTTTAAACTATCATTTTAATGTGTTTTAAGTTTAATTTGCTACCACAACAGTAAAAAGCCTACAATTAGGCCAATGAACTATATTACTTGGCGGAAGGATTGTTTATTGTCAATTATGATTAATAAATGTAATTATTTATTGAGCCTTGTGTCCTTTATCAGTGCCATTGCCGGTGTATAATGAAAGTAATAAGCCAGATGAGGCTGTGTGTTAGTGATTTTTGTGGCTTATTGCTTTAATTGATTTTTACTCCTACTTCCCTAACTTTTCTTTCTTTCTTTCTTTCTTTCTTTCGTCAGCTGTCCATGGAGGACACCACCTCCATTTTGCCCAGTCTGAAGCGGAACTCCAACGCCTATGGGATTGGGGCTCTGGCTAAGTCCTCTCTGACAGGTGTGTCAGGTGTGTGTCTGTCCCGGTAGCTGGTAACCGACCCCATGTTGGCTCCAGAGGAGGAGATGGCGATTGGAGCCAACATGGCTGCCCCTGTGGGTCCCCTTCCCTTTCCAGTTTCACCACCTGCCTCCTCCATTAATTAGTGCATGTCAATGGCCTCTTTAGCCATTGATGAAATCCCCAGTCAGACCCAACAAGAGTTCCCAAAAAACGGTAGACGTAAGTGCACTATCCATCTCCACAAGCTTGCTGCTGGGAATCGTAGTCTTTCGGTGTGACGCCAGCTGTGTATTGTAGTGTGTTTTGTGGTTTTGTGAGGTGAAGTACTCTTTTGTGACGTAAACTGTGTGTTGTGGTGTCGTTTTTTAATGGATACTACTCATTGTCAGAACAGGTTTCTGGAAATGTAGGTATCTGAATATCTCTCGATTTAATGTCCTGTGTCTTTTGTATTTCTCTTGTTTTTCTTAAATGCTTGTAAATGGGGTGAAGTGCTCAAGTGATAACTTTCGATTGTTTTTCCCCTGAACCAAACGGAGGTGATTTATCAAAGTATTTAAAGAGAGCAGTCACTTCATCAGATGGGGTTTTAATCATTGTCAGCAGCCTCGAGAAAAATCACACAACCGTCGATGAGGTTACCATCAGACTACCTTGTTTTTAGCTCTCTTTTGCATTTAGAGCCTTACGTTTTAAACGAATGCGTCTCTCGTTCTAACAAGATATTTGCATGCTAATGAGCCATTTTGTTTAAAGGAAATGTTTAGAAGTTCGGCTCTAATTATTCATACATGCATAAAAGCTTATGAATCTCGAGCAATTCATTACTCTCGTGAATAACGTATTTGTAAAGATGGTCAACCAATCGTATCTCTGTCACCGCTTGCACAGCGATTGATCAAATCAACAGACTGTAGCTCATTCATAATCACTCATTCAGTTGTTATCATCCACAGAGCCTTGCAGTAGTTTACTGTAGTAACGTGATTAAACAAAATCCCATAATGCACTGCCTGGCTGCTTTCATTTAGCCCCTTTCTGCAGCTCCATGTCGAGTCTGTACAGGTTCTGACTTGTGTTCATTTCTCTTTAGGTGTTACCAGATCAATGAAGGACAAAGTGACCAAGCCCACTGCCATGGCTCAGGGTCGTGTGGCCCACATGATTGAGTGGCAGAGCTGGGGTAAACCATCCGCAGGGCCAGAAGGGGGAGCGGGACGCTCCAATCTGAACCGCGAGAGGGAGAGACGGCTTGAAAATGATGCCTATACTGACCTGAGTGATGGAGAAAAAGAGGCACGAATGGCAGCGGGTGAGATGATTGACTGAAGACATTGAGATGATTGGAAAATGTATCTGGTAAAGTCACCAGACACAAATGTCATCCCCCCTTTTCACATTTAGTTGTGGTACAGGGTGGAAACTTAATGTATTAAGTTGAAATGTTATGGTGTTAAAGGGCATTTTAACATTTTACTAAATTGTGCTGTTCCTTAAAATAATTTTTTCAGTAATAATAAAAATTATCAGTATATTTGGGTTTCATTTGTAAACTTAAACCTCATATAATCTAGCAAGTTTTTTTCTTCCTTAAAAATAAAAACATGGGGTCAGAAAAATACACGTATTACCAAAGTACATATAGTATATTTACTGTATATTGTCTTGAAGTCTCAATGTTTCAGTTTATCTTGTTTTAAAGATGTATATTATTTTAACATTTTTACAGACAAGACAAAAATGTATACAGTATATATTATAATTTTTTTGTGGTCTTTTTAAACATGTATTTGATTCAATTAAAAACATTTAATAGGGAATAATAATGTGCAATTTATCATAATAAATAATAATATATTTTTGTTTACTACAAAGACCTTTCTTACAATTTACTGTTTTCTCCCCAATTCTTTTTGCTAATGTTAAAAAAGGCATTTTATGCTCACCAAGGCTGTATTTATTAAGAAAATACAGTAAATTAGTAATATTGTAAAATATTACAATATAAAAAAAACTTATTTAAAATAGTGCTGTCAAACGATTAATCTCATCAAAAATAAAAGTTTTTGTTTGCATAATATACGTGTGTGCTCTGTGTATATTTATTATGAATATATGTATATATATACACACACATACAGTATTCTGAAAATGTTTACACGTATTTACATGTCTGTATTTATATTCATATAATTTATGTTATAAATAAATACTTTTAATATATAAAAATAACATATTCCTCCTAAATATATTCATGCATGTGTGTGTATTTATATATACATAATAAATATACACAGTACATATATTATGTAAACAAAAACTTTTATTTTGGATGCGATTAATCACAATTAATCGTTTGACAGCACTAATTAAAAAATATAATTGATTTCTGTGAGGGCAAAGTGTCACATGATCCTTCAGAAATGATTTAATATGCTAATTTGGTGCTCAAGAAACATTTATAATTATTATCAGTGTTGAAAACAGTTGTGCTGCTTAATATTTTTGTGAATTTTTTTCAGGATTCTTTAAATAGAAAGATCAAGAAAGCAGCATCCTTTCTGAACAAAAGTAATTTTTTCTTAAAGGGGTCATAGGATGCCCATTTTCCACAAGTTGATATGATTCTTTAGGGTCTTAATGAAAAGTCTGTAACATAGTTTGGTTAAAATTTCTCAATGGTAGTGTAAAAAACACCTTTTTTACCCTGTCAAAAACAGCTCTTTTCAGATCAAGCCGTTTTTGTAGCATTTCCCTTTAAATGTTAGGGAGGGGCCTGTCTGTGTGACGTCACACAGACAGGCATCTGAGATCGGCTCGATTTGAGAAAGGGGTAAATATTTTAGTAGATTAACAAAAAACCACTGGGTGCATTTTTATAATTTTAGGGTGGTTGTGTACACACACTGCCAACACACATTTCAGTTCAAACAACTAGCATTATATGACCCCTTTAAAAAAACGACCCTAAACACTAAACTATCGAATGGTATTATATATATTTCAAAATAAGAGTTGGTAAGTGTTTAGTTGAGTCAGCCACCCACTAAGAATCTGTATATATTTAAAATGTTTACTTATCAAAATTGTTATCTTGCTTTTTGCAGGCATTTTGCAGCAATTTGCCATTTCTGAGGCCACACTCTTAGCCTGGAACTCTATGGATGGAGAGAGTTTTAAAAGAATAGCTGAGTCCACACCACAACTATATTGATAACGACACAGAGGAATGCTATCATTGGAATCACTTTCAGAACGATTTTTTTTCCAGCTGATGAATGATATAAACATTGACAGCCAATCAGAATGCATCCTGCTATAAAGGGCTTGAGCATTTAAAGCGGCAGATGACATAACTGCAGCATGCGCTTATAATATACAGAACATTATTATTCATTGGTGTGGATGCTAATGTAGTTATTTTTCTAGAAACCACTTTGGTTCCAATCTGCATTTGAATTCTGCACTTCACCTTGTCTCTTCTTCGTTTTTCGTCTCTGTCCTTCAGACCACCCGTTGCATCATTCCTCTGCAGAAGTGTGGCCTCACACCTACGTCTCTCAAGGCCTTTACTGTCTCTCCTCCTCTGACGCGTGGGAGCCAATCAGCAACGAGCCCTCGGGCGTGGCTTCTCCTGCTGCTGGCTCTTATATCATGGCGGGCGGGACTTCGGGAGAGGGTTATGATGGCTCCACCCACTATTTACCACAGCAGCAGCTGACACTGCAGCAGCAGAACCACCTACAGCAGCTCCAACAGTATCAGCAGCAGCAGCTCCTGCAGTATCAACAGGTTAGAAAACACACAGTTTGACATGCTGCCATGTTTACATGCTCAGAGGAACACTAGAGAGTTGTGTTTAGCTCTACTATTTGACCTCTTTTAGCCAGGTGTCGTCTACATGGTGGCGCTGTAGGTGGTCTTGCTGTATTTAGAACAGCAATTACTATGACTGAAAGGTGTGATGGAGTTCAGGTGTTATGTCTCTATGGGTAGACTATTCAGTGCCTGATTAGAAATTCTTTTAAATCATTTAAAAATGTATAGAATTATATGTAAAGAATAATGTGTAAACTATGTAATAAGAAACGTTTCTTGAGCTACAAATTTGCATATTAGAATGAACATTCTAAGGTTTACTGTATTTTTGATCAAATTAATGCAGCCTAAGAAATTTCTTTTAAAAACACTAATCTATTGCAATCAATTTAATCAAAATGTTTTTCATAAGATTTATAATCAAATATTGAAATAAAATAGTTTTAAATATTTTGATTAAAAAAATTCAATTACATCGACTGCAATGCTTGTTAGTAATGCAGTTCATTGCCTCGTTAAAGATGTTCAGTACACATTTTTATGTTTTATGTAATTCTTTTTCCTCATTTCCTCTTGAAGTCTATGGAATATCGACTGCGCAGTGCCTCCCACTCCTTACAAGCCACGCCCAACAGCACTATTCACAGTTTGGGCCCGCCCACTCACCCAAGACTGGCTGACCTGTGGGCGGCAGCTCAGGTGGAGCCCCATCAGGTGGAGATGATGGGACACATGGGCATGACCATGGCCGAAATGGGAATGGCAGAAGTGTACGGCGAGGAATCTGTTGTAGAGAACGAATGCATCCCGGAGCAGCAAGAGGAAGAGGAAGCCAAGGTGAGATATTTTATTTCCACTTCCTTCACCACCAGCTCAGTGAGAATGTACTCACCCTTAGACCATCCACGATTCAGATGAGGTTGTTTCTTCATCAGAACAAATTTGGAAAAATTTAGCAATGGATCCTCTGCAGTGAATGGGTGCCGTCAGAACGAGAGTACAAACAGCTGATAAAAAACATCCACACATCCATCAATGAATGTCTTGTGAAGTGATAAACTGTGTTTATAACGTCAAACTATTGCTTCAGGCTAATATACGAATTGATAACTGTACTGATAATGGTAAAGATATAGTTAAAAAATAATTTTAAATTTAAAAGAATAGCTGAGTCCACACCACAACTATATTGATAACGACACAGAGGAATGCTATCATTGTTTCTTCATCAGAACAAATTTGGAAAAATTTAGCAATGGATCCTCTGCAGTGAATGGGTGCCGTCAGAACAAGAGTACAAACAGCTGATAAAAAACATCCACACATCCATCAATGAATGTCTTGTGAAGTGATAAACTGTGTTTATAACGTCAAACTATTGCTTCAGGCTAATATACGAATTATCCATAATATTGCTTTCTCCACTGAAAATGTAATCTCGTCTGAATCAGGAGAGAAATATGCACAGATCAAGGACAGTTTACAAGCAAAAACAGTCCAAAACATTTCTAAACAAAAATATTGGTGGATTTTCATGTGAAAAGACATCAGACTTTTTCCATTGGAAGAAGCATTATTATGGATTATGGACTGGTATTTAGGCCAAAAATGATGGTTTAAAGTTAAAACACCTTAACGATGGATATGTTTGTTACAAACATGCAGCTTTTCGCTTCACAAGAGATGAATTGATGGACTGGAGTCGTGTGGATTACTTGTGGATTATTGTGATGTTTTTATCAGCTGTTTGGACTCATTCTGATGGCACCCATTCACTGCAGAGGATCCATTGGTGAGAAAGTGATGTAATGCTACATTTCTCCAAATCAGTTTTGATGAAGAAATAAACTCATCTACATCTTGGATGGACTGAGGGTTTGTTGATGTTTCAGAAAATTCGGTAAACTATTTCTTTATTTTTTTCTCTCTTTCTCAAGGAGGATGACATAACACTCACCCTCGAACCCGAGTCGACATCCTTAACTCCTGCCCTGACCCCTCCGCCTCAAAGAGAGGGCTCCACCCCACCTAGGGGCATGAGCCCAGGGCAAGTACCAGCAGAGCCAGTGGCTGAGCACATGACCTATGAGGTCACATCCTGCGTCGTCCAATCGCTGGAGGAGAAGGAAGAAGAGGTGGAGGATGGGGCTGTTGTCATTGTGGCAACCAACTGACGGTTCAAAAAACAAAACTGTCTGTGAAATAATCAACCAGTTAAGCTATTGTATACGCCCTTTTACCCCAGATGTGTACTTGTACGGACTATCACATCAGGAACAGATTTATTCGTTATTAAACGCCGAAAGAACATGCTCTGAGCACCAGGCGCATTTAAAGACTAAACGTGGGAGAGCGTCAAAGCCGGGATGATGCATTACATGTGCTGCTGCTGCTGCTGTTTTATGGCGGGAGCGCGGGAGTCCAAGGCCGCTTGCGAATAAAAATGAAGAGTGCAATACTGAGAAATCAATACAACCAAAAGAAAGTGCATGCGTTTTTTTTTTCTTTGAGTATTTAAGTGACTGAATTAACAGTATCCACATAGTAATAATATATATTGATTTTTGTAATAAAACTAAAAGCCAATGAAACAATATGTATTTGTATGTATATATAACATGTACTGTATGTATGTATGTTAGTATGAATGTAAGAATGTATGTGTCTTTAAAGGTATATTCTGAAAAAACGTTACGAATTTGCTGTTTGCGTGAAGTGTCCCCTATGTACCTCCACACAATCGCACACACACAAACACACACACAAACACTGATGCACACACACGTACACACCCTGGAAAACATGTTTTTGCTCTTAATATATCCAAGCACAATACTGCCCAAATGGAAACAGTGCTGCCCTTTTCAACATCCTAACTGTATTGTTACTAAGACTTATGCACTACTATGGACATAAACGAATGTATTGTATCTTCTTAGCGACAGCCTGGTTCTGTCCTCAAGTTTTTGTTTTCTTCTGTTTCTACGTTTTTTCACATCGATGTCTGTGTTTATCTGCCTGGCTGAGCTGCTCAATATTGATTTGCACTGAATAACAGAAGGAAAACTGAAGAGTCATCGTCATCATTCTGGGAAGTTCCATTAAGCTTCTCATACAAAAAGAGGAGTAAACTTTGAGTACTTTTAATCCGTTGAGTCTGAGACTAGGGGAAACCAAACTGGGAATCCTGAAGACAACTCATGGGTCCATTTTTTGGTACTAATATGTAGGAGCCATTTATGTCATGCATATTTCCCATGTTATTTACGTTATAGCTTTCCCTGTAGCTGACTTAATGCAAAGAGATAAACTCATTTTACCCTCAGTAAAATCATGTGGTAATGGGCTAATTGACATGTTCGGTCACAGTATGTCTTTGTCACGACAGACCATACGACTGTGGAAAGAAGTGAAAAGAAGGTGCTTTTCTGGTTAATGCTTGTAGGCTTTCCATTAATTATTTAATAAGCTGTAATTGAAATACCCGCTCCAGAAAGAAGTGCCCTCGACTACTAGCGTGCACATCTCAAACTTGTGTCGAAACTTATATACACTCCAAAAGAGAGAGAGAGAAAAAAACCCGTTTTGGATGTGGCAACATTAACACTAATTAGAGTTAATTAGTTAGAAGGCATTTGGTTTAGCAACGATTTATATTCTTTGATGATTTTGAAAGTTTTGATTAATACCGTCATGCAATGCTGAGGCAACATTTATTTTTCTATACTAATGAGGCCTGCGAGTTGTCATTCTTTGTGATATTTCGACACATCGTAGGACTAGCGTCTGCCGAATGAGAGTCATTTTCACAGATCTAATGGCTGCGTTTGGAACAAAATTCGAGAGCAGGCGAAATGAGAAAGATTGAAGTGGATGATCTCTCAAAATCACATCCTTTGTGAAGTACACTCTCAGCATCTTCAATGTCAGAGCTCTTTGTGAAATGTCCAAAAGATGGCAACATTAATAGCTGACAGCAATGATGTCACAAGGTCATATTTCTGTCATATTCTGTGAAATATGATGCATTTAGTGCAGAATGGCAATGTGGTGAAATCAGAAATGGAGTTCTGATTATTGAGGAATATTAAATAAAGCTAGGTATAGCGATCTTGCAGTTTCTTCAACTCCATTCGGTGTCATCCTGTAACCTCATTTAAATCATGTGCATTTTAAAGTGCTGTAAATAAAATCCTTATTGTGAAGGTCTGTCTTATTTGTCAATGGCTATAGAGAGTTATCAGTAAATTGTTTAGATATATTAAGATAATCACTTCATTATTTTACACAATGATTCAAAAAATAATAAAAACATTTATCATTCCACATCGCTGACTAATCTAAAAATGTGCGATAAAAGTTTTTTAATCCAAATGTATCACTGTTTATTGAATTGTTATTAATTCCTGGAAGATATGAGACAAAAACAATCAACGTTTCAAAGCTACATTAAGAAGCAAACATTTTTCTGTCGATATCTCATCACGCCAAGAAGGAAAGAGATGAATGAATAAATAAAATAAATATGACAAAAACAAACAAACAAAAATGGAAGCAAATAAAGTTATTGCTCACAGACTGAACCGATATAAAATCACATTAAATTAACTGTAACATTTAAAAGAAGACAGCAGATCACATGAACCAACAGATTGTTCATAAACAGCAGAGTCCTTGGTTTAAAGACATGAGAGACACCTGAGAGAGATTTCAGAAAATGATGGATAGATGAAGGCAGGACATAAAGGGTTGCATTAAGAAAGGACAGTGCCCACACCCTGAATTTGAACTGGAAAAGGGCATAAGGAAAAGAGTTTTCAGGTGAAAAGAAAGTTCACTTTCTGAAAAGGGCCACAATGTGCCACCTGCTGGCCATGTTTTGTTTTTAAGAAATTTTTGACAACTACTTCACAATGCAGTGCAAATATTTTTTGTTGGAAATTTATTTATTTATTTTTTAAATAAAGGGTTCATATCAAATGATCCAGGTGTATGAAGACTTCAAGTGTTTTTATGAGGTCTGAAATAATGTCTGCCGCATGTAAACCTGGTTTAACATTATCATTTATGTCAGAATGTTCATGTTTTGGCGCTCCAATAAAATATTTTTTTAATATAATCAGCAAATGTTTGAAGATTCCCCATTTGTGGTTTTTTTTTTTTTTTACAATCCCACTGAAAAGAACTGCAGTCACACAGCAGTGTTACGTTAAACTACTGAATGTCAAGGGAACACACTGAAAGACAAGAAATATTTGAAGTGTTATTGGGGAGAAAAAAAAAAGAGCACCTATTTGAGCATAATCCCATGGGCAGTTTATATTTATTTACAGATTTTTTTAAGAGGAAAAGGAAAAAAGGAGGAAGAGGAAGAGCAAATGGTAGTGGAAGAAATGAAATTTATTTACAGAAATATTTAGAGGAAAGAGAAATAAACAGGGCAAGTGTAAGGAGGAAGAATAACAAGAAAGAGGAAAGGAAAATTTACAGAAAATTCTAGAGGAAGAGGAGAAATAAGAACATAATTCTTTCTCTTCTTATTTTTCTTCTTCTTCCTCTAAAAATTCTGTCAATTTTCTTTTCCTCTTAAGTGGAAAAAAGAAAAAGAGGAAGAAATTAAGAAAGGAAAAGAAAATTATTTACAGAAATGTATAGAGGAAGAGAATAGAGGAAAATGAAGCAGAAAAGAAAGCAGGAGAACAAACTGAGTGTGACACCCGAAACAATAGGTAGTCCTTCAGAATGTAGGCTAGATATAGGCAGCAGTAATTTATAATCTAATATAATGCACGCAAATTTGTTCTTTACAGAACGGAGCGGGATCTGAGCGGGAATTGGTTCACGGTGAGCGTGAGCGGAATATTAACGGAGCGCTTGCTTGGACGGTTAGAGCGACTGAGTGGAGCGCACGTCCATAGAGCGGAAAACGTAGCAGAGCTCACATGCTCTGAGTGTGACTCAGGAAAAGAACAGACATTTTGAAACGAGCACATGAATAAAAAACATGAAATTGGTATATAAAAATAAAAGTGAACAAAAGTACACTGTTCACACCTTAAATAAAAGAAAAACAAACTTTACTTGTTGTTCTAAAGGTGCTCCTCGCCTTCTTCACACTCCTTGTTCTCTGGGACGGACAGCAGGGTGGAGAGAGGGATGGGGGGTGGAGGAGAGGAGGGCGGTAGGGTCGAGCTGCTATCGGGACTTCCTGTCTCACTGTCACTACTTCCTGTCCCGCTACTGCTGCCACTACTGCTTCCAGTCGTCGTGCTACTGCTGTTCCCCACGATCACCTCTCGTTTCACGCCCTCAATCCACACCTCCATCTCTTGCTGCACTGGGGCCGCTGGGCTCGGGACGTGAGGGACCACGGGTGCGGACAGAGGCGAGGAGGGAGCTGTGGTGGAGCCGGGTGAGGATGGAGCGGAGGAGGCCTGAGGAGGATTCGAAGCTTTACGAATTGTGTCACGGAAACTGGCCAGAGGTGGGCGCAAGCGTACGCCACTGCGCGTGGAACCCTCGATGGCTTTTTGGAGCTGATGCAGAAGTAGAAATAAGGGTTAGACAATCTGGAAAAGAAGAATTAACTAGCCATGACAACTGATGGATGGATGGATGGATGGATAGATGAGCTACCTCTTTCAGTGCCACGACTCCCACTAGTTTTCCAGTATTGGTTACATAGGCATGACTGAGGCCCAGCAGAGAGAACAGGGTATGAGTCTGGGGGGATGAAAATCATCAAGATATAATCATCAGAATAATTTTATGTCACCATGCTTAAATGAAAAATATTTGTTCCGTTTATGCCAGCGTTTTACAAACTGAAGTTTGCGAGTTAATAAAAAGCTAATAATTACTAAATTAAATGTAAAATTTAAATAAATAAATTTATATATTATATTTTATATATTATATTATAAAAAAATAATCTAAATAAAACACTTGCTAAAAATATACTATTTCATATATTATTTTGAAATATTGTTTAACCTGTGTGCCATGTGACTATTTACAGACATCAGTGAACTGTGAACATGAAAAGTGTTGCTGAACTATTGAAATATTAACTTAAAATCTCAATATTTTAGGTTAAAGAGTTTTGGCTGATAAAAAGTTTGTGAATCACTGATTTACACTAATAAATAGGAATATATCATTAGAATTTTGGCTGATACAATAAGCCAATAATTATTTTAAAATATTAAATAATTATATGAATTAAATTTAACGTTAACATATTACAAATGTAAATACTAAAACTGAAATGATTAGTTTTAAATCTACAAGTGAATTTAGGGATCACAACAATGTACATTATGAAAAATAGATATTCATTTTGAGATTTGCTAGATTACATTTAACAATGTAATTTAAAGGGGTCATGACATTTCATGACATTTCTTTTTTGATGATTTCTTTTGCACAAAAGAAGTCTTTGTTTGCTTAAAGGTGCACTAACCAATATTTGAAAAAAGCCTTTGACCACAGTGTTGGACTGAGTCCCAAAACACACTTGTAGCCAATCAGCAGTAAGGGGGCGTGTCTAGCAATGATAGGGAGAAGAGAGAGCTCAATTTGAGTGCACATGACAGATATTTGCAGATCGGCTATAGATAGAGAAAGATGACAGATAAGAAAAGAGGAAAATATCAGAGGAACAAAACATTAAAAATAAGGGCTATTATCAGGCAAGAGGTAGGACCCGTGTAAATATCAGAGCAGTTTTCCAGTGGTGGAGAGAACTCAAGAACGCTCGAATCGGACGCCAAAGTTGCGTTGTTTCTTCTTGATAGGTGAGTAATGTTGATCTTGCATTGTTTTACACAACTTATCTGTGCTGGCTTTTGTTTGAATATGCTTGTGTATCTTCACTTGTTTCCGCGATTGTCGTTGCCATGGATGTGTACGTACGTGTGGGGCAGAGATTTTAAAATAGGGGCGAGGTCCTGTTGGGGTATGGGCGTGTTTGTTTTGGTGCTTTCAAATATCAACATCGTTTGGCAAAATTCGCTTAGTGCACCTTTAATACATCCTCCGAGTTTCATAACTTAAAATGTCCTCATCATCAATAAAAAAACATTTATGTAATAACCCTCAGAAAACAGCTCGTTTTGGATTCGAGGTGCAAGGTGACGTCATCCGGGTGGGGTCATTTTCATATGACCACCTCCAGAGCAAGACACTCACGAACAGCCATCTTCTCACCATAGGCCCTGCCTACTGGCGTTCAGCCGCTTAACGGCTTGACACTTGATAATGCTGAATGCAGAATAGAATTTCTGCAGAACAGATATTACAATGGATACAGTATACAGATGCGCATTCGCTTTCTGACACAGTCCATGTGCTTGGGTCTGTCAATAGGACAAATGGAGTGAAAGAATGTTCACTCGTTTGCGTCTTTGTACAGATATCAGAAGTTTCCCAGCGTAAGGAACAAGTGGATAGTTTATTTTTAATGGCATCCCGGATCGTGTCTGAGGATTTTGTTTTGTAAATGAGGCACAGTGTCATAGAGAGTTCACAAAGAAACATTTGTTAAAAGATGAAGCTGCATCACAAAGTAAATTAATTCATAATGTTTGTCTGGAAATGACCGTTTTATTTTGATTATGTTGTCAGAACACTCACATTCAATAGCGAGGGGGCGTTGATACTGTTTCCTATGCAATGACACTAGCCAATCATAACAGTGGCCAATTACTGAGAAGCCATTTTTCGAGAGAGGGTTGAAAATAAAAAATTTTCCACATTATATTTATTTGTTTTTTTTGTGCACATTTTTTTTATTAACATTATAAGTAAACCTCAAGGAACATATTAAAATAATTTAAAAAAATCCATGTCATGACCACTTTAACAATGTAATCTATCCAATCCAATATTAGACGATACTGATAAAAAAAAAATCTCTAATATGTTACAGATATATAATGCATTCATCACTATTGCCTTCTCTAGAACTGATAATAGGTGAACTGAACTTGTCTCAGTTGAGTGTTGCAACATCGACGCTGTTATTGAACTGAACTGAATCAACTCTGAACTGACTTGAGCTGAATAATGGCACTGTTATCTTCTGTAGAACTGCTTTACAGATTAAATTGAATTTGTTTCATAACTGATGAAGTTTGCAACATACAGTAAACTCTGTTATATTTTCCTGTTTATTACACTATATGTATTGTATAAAGCACTATATAAGAGACATATCAAATGACTTGACTTGATATGGCATGTCTCTCACCTTATGTAGTGATGTTCTCTCAACCAGCTGGAAAGGGGAGGGATCTATTCTGATTTGATCGATATCCAGAGGTTTGTCCATCTCTGTCTCCTCCCAGGCTTTGATCTATGTGACCAAATCAAAACCACGCAAGGCTTCAACTCTGCTATGCCTTATTTTATTTTAGCAACTCTTCTGCAGAATTAAAACATCTAACAATATCCAGAACCTATATTAAAACAATTTCCTTTCATGCTTTAATATCTACTCGGAAGCTAATTACTTATAGTATTGGTAATACCTGTTCTGGTGTCATTGTGTCAGTTAAAGGTGGAGGATAAGGCTCCTAGGGTGAAAAAAAGGCAAAATAATTATATTATACATGACATGGTGCATTTGAACCAAGTATTCAAACTCATTAACATTTTAGCAAGAGTATTTGCATATTGACACATTCTATGGAAGACCATTCATTCCCTTTAACCGCACATGTCCTTGAAAAACACTGATGAATATTAATGCAGACCATTAGCAATACATTGGCTCTTCTCATTTTATCGACCTTACTTATTTCATACATGCTGAGAGGAATTAATCTAGTGCACTCAAATTCACTTGATGGAACAGACACACATTTTTTCACAAGGGACAAACAATGTACCTGTGGCTGACCTTCTGTGTGTCGTTCTGAAGAGGATGAAAAGAAGTTACGTAAAATTCCTCTGAAAGACGGAGAAGGACCCTTATCTAGGCAAGAAGAGGAGGAGAGAGAGAGAAGAAAAAATGGAAAAGACGGAAGGCGGATTAGAGGATGAGTATCACTTATATCGCCTCAAGATGCTTGTTCAATAGAAGTGCTTGCCTGAGGTTTATTAAGGTTTCTAAAGAGGATGGCTCGGTTATGTTTGCTGGAGAGTTTCTCACCGGTAGATGTGTGATTGGTGGATGGTTCTGAAGGTTTGGGTGGAGGCACAGGACCGTTTCTTTCCTCTTGAACTGGTATCGTCTAAACATTCACAGAGAACAGTAAGTACAAACTGTCATTTTGAAAAGGCATACAAAAGCAACATTTCAGGAATAATTATTTTTTTACATTATATTTTTCGGAGCAAAGCCATTTCCTGTTGTGTTTTGATGGGTGGATGGACAGATGGGAATCATAGAAAGGAATGATAGCAAAAGAATGATAGAAACAAAAATAAAAAAAACAGATAGAACATAGATAGATAGATAGATAGATAGATATATAGATAGATAGATAGAACAATACATAGAACAAACGAACTATAGATAGATGATAGATAGATAGATAGAACATAGAACAAACGAACGATAGATAGATAGATGATAGATAGATAGATAGATAAAATGACAGAACAACAGATAGATAGATAGATAGATAGATAGATAGATAGATAGATAGATAGATAGATAGAACAATACATAGAACAAACAATACGAACGAACAAACGATAGATAGATTAGACAGACAGACAGACAGACAGACAGATAGATAGATAGAATACGAATGAACGACAGACAGACAGACAGATAGAACAATACGAACAAACTAACGATAGATAGATTAGACAGACAGACAGACAGACAGACAGATAGATAGATAGAATACGAATGAACGACAGACAGACAGACAGATAGAACAATACGAACAAACTAACGATAGATAGATTAGACAGACAGACAGACAGACAGACAGATAGATAGATAGAATACGAATGAACGACAGACAGACAGACAGATAGAACAATACGAACAAACTAACGATAGATAGATTAGACAGACAGACAGACAGTCAGATAGATAGATAGATAGACAGATAGATAGATAGATAAATAGATAGATAGATAGATAGATAGATAGATAGATAGACCTTATCATCTTCATTCTCATCCTCTTCTTCCTCATCAACAAAGGCAAAGGATTCCCAGCTGATTCTGGCACAAGGCACTTGACCTTGTGAGTTCTGTCCTTGCGTTAGGATCCGCCTCTCTGCTGACAGCCACCAATCACAGAGGGCGAGAAGCTCAGACCTCTCAATGCTGCCCAATAGAATCATAGATTCTGTTGAAGGTGAAGTGAGTTCAGAAACCAGTTACATATTAGTATAAAAATGCTTACTGACATTAGGGCTCTGTTCCAAAACCTGTACTGTAGAGATGGGCCTTACACAGGACCTGACTGATTTGAAATTCTACAAAGAAGCAACTTCATGTTGCTAAGCAAATGACATGAGGTTGATAGCTTGTTAGGTTTTTAAACAGAGCTTTTGACTGTTTGAGTGAAACTAAATAAAAATAGATATAGCTCACCCTGGTAGACTACATGCAGCTAGAAAAACGTCATAATGGGAAATGTAATTAGACTCAAGAAATTGTCTAGAGACAGTCTGTGTGACATTACCTTTTGAGTCAACCAGCGGGAAGGTTTTTAAAGAGGTCGAGTCCAGCAAATGCAGTACTTCTCTGTATGTAGAGTGGGAACATAAAAACTTCACTTTCCTCACCATTATGTCCTCCACGAAGATATTATACTGGCTGCAGGAAAACAGAAACTGTGCTGTAATGCCACAGGCTAAAGACTGGTTGACAGAGCTTAAAAAGGTTAATAACTCTAGACCGGTGGTCTCTGGTCTATTCTAATTGTACAAGAGAAGAACAATTCTTAATCCAAATAATAAAATGCACTTACTATATATAAAAGTGCATAGTTAGAACAGTAAAATAAATATGCTTTTAAAAGGAAGCAGAAAATGGCACATTTAATCAAACTTATTGGCTGCTTTGGTAATATGGCTAACATAATGACACATACCATATTAGGCCCAGTAATAATCTTTAGCAAACCTCAAAAAGAACATAATTTTTTCATACTGTACCAGTGTTATTTTAGTATCAATAAGATAGTATTATAGTTTTTGTTAATATTTTGAATTAGATTTTATTTTTATATTTTCTGCATGCTAATTTTAGTTCTAAGTTCTAATGCTAAGTTTAGGTAATGCATTTTATGTATTGCTCTAGATAATGGTAATTGAAATCATTAGCTTTTGGCTTGACTATGTTATCAAACAGCTAATGTTGCTAATGTTACACAAAACACGGTTTTATTTGCTATTTTAGACAGCTAATAATATGAAAAGCTCCACCCCGCAAGTTGACAGGATTGGTAACATGTTTTGGGACTGTAGGAAACGGGCTGTTTCAAACCACATTTTTGAGACCGTCTTTGGTACACTGCAGTTTTAAGGAGAAAATGCTCAGCAATGATGTTGTCTGATGAAGTTCCACATGGTTTGTCTTTAAGCATATTGACAAACCCCTGAAGGACATGTAAAGAGGGGTCTATTTTGGCTAATTTTGGTAACAAGTTTGGTCACCACTTGATGTCCAATGTAAACTCCAGGGCCCGGAGGAAGAACTACTACTTCAGACCACAAAAGGGTAGATTAAGACGCAGAGCGCATCCTTGATGAAGAGGTAATGAATAGCTAAAATCTAATGTGTGTGGAGTGGCTCAGTGTTAGCTGGAAGGGTGCCAAAGCTTAATGTTGCCGCCCCTCATTGACAAGTGTATTTACTAATAGCTCCCGCTGCTAATGAATCATAAGGACTTTGAGGTGCTGTCAGCATGCGAGGGTGAGGGAACCTAGCTGCGCTGTGAGCCAAGCTGCTTTGTCACATATGTGGAGCCACGGCACTGGCGTTTGTCTGCGCACCTTATGTGGCCGAAGCCCAGCTCTGGGAGATAGGGCAGCTTCTTGACCTGGATGATGGAGTCGTACAGCGATGGTTGCAGACCCTGCGCTACCATGTTGGCCAGGATGACGGCGACCATCATGGGAAGGATGTGAGAGATCTGACCGGTCAGCTCGAAGCAGATCACCGCGGTGGAAACTGTGTGAGTGACGGCCCCCGTCAGCGCCGCCGCACCTTAAGGGAAAGGGATAGACCAATAGAGTAACAGGACGGAAAGATGGAGTGCTGTAAGACAGGGTCATGACAGGAGTGACATAATGAACGGAGAGAGTATGGACACATGCAGAGGAAGATCAGAGATTAAGAGAAGAAAGGATAGGAACAGGAAGTGACATCATAAGCACAGTATGAGCACACATTAGGTAAGAGTGGTGGATCGGAAGAGGAGGAAAGGATGACTGACCAATGACAGCGTACCCTCCAGGGATGATGCGGTACAGTATACCATCAAACAGGATTCCGTGAGGAAAGAGAGTAGCCATGATCTCACCCACTAAGCGACCGAATGCGGCCCCTGTAAGACATTGCAATGGATATTCAAACATATTTAAAAAAATAAAAAATAAATTTAATTAAATGTGTTTCTATGAAAGTAAAAAAAAAAATTCTATGAGTGTAATAAGTGGATTTACATATATACCTTGAGATCCGAAAGTCTGGGACAGCTAACGAAAATTATTGCATAATAAAAATAAAATAAAATAAAATAAAATAAAAAGTGCCTGGCTAACTTCTGTAAGTCTAATAAGTGAATTTGCATATTTAGCTGGTGAATATTATTGCATAAAGTAAAATAAAATAATATAAAATAAAACAAAATAAAATAATTAAATAAAATGAAATAAAATAAAATAAAACATTTTATGTGCGTCGCTAACTTCTGTAAGTCAAAGTGAATTTAAATATTTAGAGTGAGATCCAAAAGTCTGAGACTACTACTGAAAATGATTGCATTTTTTTCTATTTACAATAAATACAAAAATTGAGTTAAATGAAATTTCTTTTAGCAAAAAAGTACTTATTTGATTAGTGTCCTGAAATTGTGCAAAAACATAAATATTTATATTTAATTATAATAAAATATTTATATAATTTTTTATCATAACACTCATTTCTTTGAAAACATTTATTTGTTCAAAATCTTCAAATAAATAAATAATTTTTATAAATTGTATAAATTTGAAATAGATCTCAAATCCCAGCATGACAACATGGTTTCTTTTGGATCCCACTGTATGTTAAAGGGATCCTTAAACAAATGAGAATTAATACCGGTGACCTACCCAATACAAAGACAGGCATGAAAGCTCCAGACGGGATGGGCATCGTGGTGGAAACGGCAGACATCCAGAACTGTGAGATGAATAATAATGTTTTCACACGATTGCCTTAATTCTAAAATCTCAAAGACTGCTGTCAGCACAACCTGTACGAAACTAACTCAAAAGACAAATCACTGCTTCAGCAGCTTCAAACATGACAGATGGAGAGAGAGAATGACTGTGGAACAAGCAGGTTTTATTGAAGACATCTAGACAACTATAAATGATAACTAAAGCCAGTGTCAGTGCATGGTACTTTCGTAGTGTTTAGAGAGAAAATGACTTAATTGATAGAGAACAATGTGAACAAAATATCGCAAAGGACCAACCTTCATGATAAAGAAGAGAATAAGAATGACAAAGATGCTGACATCAGGGTGAAACCACACAGCAGAGCGACCAAGACCAGGAGGAAGGGAGGAACCCCATATTTTAGTCCAGGTGAAGTTATCAAACAGAGAGTTGATGCACTCCCTGGGCATCAGCTGCGGAATAACACAGTCAACTTCACATTTAAACCCAACCAAATGAAATATTTCAAAAATTCAACCATTATTTTTAAGATTGTCTGACAGACCATAAACATTAAAGCAGTGGTTCTCAACCTTTGTGACTCAAATCCCCACCATTCTACACAAAAATATCTGCTGTGATGACAATGTTTTGTTTTTAAAACTTAGTGAACACTCCTAGTTTCAAGATTGCAAAAGTTTTATGAGTTGAATGTTCTTCCAGGTTCCTACTCTTCTAAATCAACATTTCCATGACCTTTCCAGTTGTTGTTGATTTACTGGATAAGCATTAAAGATGAGGATTTATAAAAGTATTTATACTCACAATTTATACCTGATAAAATATTAGAGCTTGGCATAATTAGAAACAAATATTTATTGATATAGAATATACAGTATTCTATATAATAAAATAGTGTTTTGACTAGGTTGATAAATCATAATTTTAAAATAAGTCTTCCTTACATATTCACGGTTTCCAGAATCCTGGTTCTTCAAAGACAAAAAACTAAAATAAGAAATATCTTGATTTTTAGTAGTTTTAGCTTATTTGTATGCTTTTTTTTGTCTTATTTAAAATCGGGCCCTTTTGGAAGTTTGCTAAGGCCCCCTAGTAGGCACCGGACCCGTGGCTGAGAACCTCTGCATTAGAGGAGGATCCTAAATAGCTGATATAATTTTTTAGTTATAAAAATGAACAAAATTGTAGCATCGGTTATTAAATATTTCTAATCTGACCTCTCCAGCCATGAACTGCCCAAAGCCTGGAGGGAATGTCAGTGTCGTAACCACTAAGGTCACAACAGCAGGGAAAATCAGCCGGCTGAGAAAGAAAATGTGACACATATTGTAATTAATTTGCTTGTGTGATAATTTTAAAGATTGTGATTTCAGCAAAATAACTCTCGGGTGAGTACTGCATACTCCTATAATAATGCTAAAGGTAATATACTGTCTGTCATCATTTGCGGTGTTAATTTCTCTTACTGTTTTGTAAGGAATCGTGTGAGAATGTTCGGTCTTCTCATGAACAGGATAACTTGGCGGTTCAGGTAAACAAAGAAAGCTCCCAGGAACCCACAAGAGATCCTGTGGGGAAAAAGCAATCAAAGACAAAACAATCACATTATTCCAGTGATTCAAATACAAAAATCCCATTTACAGTTTTATAATAAGACAAGAAGATTGCTGTGCTCTTTGCTGAATTGTTTCTGATCAATGTGAGCACAATTATTATGCAATATAATACAATAACTTCATCAAAATGTGTTAGTGAAATATGACCTTCCAACAAAATCAAATATACTGCCACCATCTGGACACTTTGGTTAAGTTAAAGTGCTGTGTGCTCAGGTCTGCGAGTGTGTTACAGTATGGCACACACAGACACACACACAGCTTCAGGATTGTGCCCTCACCACGAACGGCACGCTCTCGCCCCCGCGCTCTCACCCAATAATGGCGAATGCCGGGAGCTCCTGCAGGTCGAAAGGAAAATCCATGCGGAAGTTGGTGCGGAAGAGAGCAGTGATGGTAACTGAAACAACAGATGTGGAAAAAAAAAGCTCTCTCATTTCAGATGAATGGTATTGTATGAGTCATCTGACATCTCAGGCTGCCAAGACCTTCATTCACGAATACGATTTAGTATCTCACCTGCATCCTTATTAAACACAGACAGCACTCTGAAAATAAAAGCACTGAAAGTGGCAGCAAAGTAGCCCCTCCAGTAGTTTCTCACAGCAAAATAGGTTGATGTAACTTCAATGCTGAATAAAACACCTGGATGAACCAAAGAAACATTTAGAGTGGTTACTGTCATCTACAGAAGGGAATTTCAAACTTTCTAAATCCATCAAATATGATGATAAAAATGTCAAATATACTTGTGAATTGTGAAATTATTTAAAATAACTGTTTACTATTTTAATATACTTTAGAATGTATAGAATTCCTGTGATGGCAGAGCAGAATTTACTCCAGTCTTCTGTGTCACATGATCCTTCAGAAATCACTCTAATATGCTGATTTGGTGCTCAAGAAACATTTCTCAAAATTATCATTGTTGAAATGCAGTTGTTCTGCTTAATATTTTTGTGGAAAGCATCATACATTTCTTCCCAGGAAAAGTCTTTACTGTCACTTTCAATTTATTAAATTTAATGCATCCTTGTAGAATAAAATTATTGAATTCTTTCAACAACAACAACAAAAAATATGCCTTCAAATTTTGTATGGCAGTGTATATCTTAATTTTTTTTGCAACTTTTTTATTTATTTATTATTAATACTATTTATACAATTCACACTTTGGATACAAAAACCTCTAAGTCCATTTTAGATATTTCTCAGATTTTTTTTGTCAGATTATAACGAAAACAAAGTTTGACTTTTTTTTGTGTGGATATTTATACACTTTACTGGCAAATAATCATACATACTGCTTAGGATTCAGAATAAAAAAACAATTATTTGAAATAGAAATCTTTTTAAAAAATGTTAAAGTTTTAACTGTTACAGTACAATCAAAGTCAATCAATTTTAATGCATTTTTGCATACTAAAAGTATTAATTTCTTAACATAAATAAATAAATAAAAACTGCTCCCAAACTTTTCAATTGTAGTGTACATCTCAATTATTATTATTATTATTTTTTTTACCCCAACTGTTTATTCTAACCTCACTACATACTACATTTTTGTCAGATGTATAACTTCCGTTAGACACTTTACTGGAAAACAAACATAAATCCTTTCAAGAAAGAATTGAAAAAACAAGGGAAATGCCATTTCTGCACACACTTTACCTCCAAGAGGGGTTCCAAAACAGCATCCAACCCCCACAGCACAGCCCACTGTGAGGATGTCTGTATAACAGTATGGACTCTACTGACACAGAGGCAGACAAAAAGAGTGAAGCAGACACAGTTGAGGGTACAGGTGGAGGAAGATGGGAAATAATTATTGGTAATATAAATGCCCTGGATGATATATCATTGCTGTCCTCAAAAATAATGTGTAATAAAATTTTTTAAAAAACTGTCCTGCTCCTGGATGATAAATGAGCATTCAGCATTTTATGAATGGAGATGCCAAATGTGCATTGCAGGATCTCCATGCACTTCTGCTTACCTGATAGACTCCAGAGAAGAAAGACATAAACCTGCTTAGCACAGCTGCACAGATACTGGCTATGTGAACAAAGGGACCCTAATGCATAAAAACAACACAGTTTAAAGGTTAGCATCAGATGGGGCTGAGGCCAGTTTAGGTGACCTTAACTGGCACTTGTACTCACCAAATCACAGTGCATTTTGTATCATGCAAAATGGAAAATTGAGGCCCCTGTGTATGTTACATGAGACAGCAAAATCAAATGTGCCTCACCTCTTTGCCAACCGGCATACCGCTGCCCAGGCCAGCAGTGAGTCCCACCACCTTCGCAATAAATGCCTTGAGTGTCAAATACTCCTTCAGCACAACACCTCGGAGTATGGTTTTCAGCTCTGGAATACCAGAGCCTGAGGGGAAATAAGAGTCAGAGGAGGAAAGAAAAGAGACAAAACAATTAAATGGCTTGGAAAAAGAAGGAATGTGAAAGGTCTGTAAATAAAGTTACAACTAATCACATTATAATCTGTGACATTGTATTTGAAAATGTCAGTTTTATAGGATAAAATAAAAGAATAGCTTCCTGCAACCTGCATAATTACCACAGGTTGGCAATCAATGGGCTGAATAGCAGATGAACCAGCAGGTAGCGTTGTTGAGTAGTAAACAGTGCGCAGGCAGAAGTTACAGTAGTTGAAGAAAATACTATTTTTATGTGGCTGATATACTGTATATTAACTACAAGTGCCACAGAATACAGAAAGTGTACTTTTAAGAGACAAACACAGGGTTTGTAGACACCTTGATAAAAAAAATGAGATTATACAAAGAGCATGGTCCAAAATTAACTCACCAAGCATTTAATATCAGTAAAGAACAGAGTTCGGCTTTCAAACATAGCCAGAAAATAGCTAAATTATCCCTTTTTCATAAGGACAAAGCTATATTTTTAATGAAAGTATGCAAAATATATTCTAACGAGCAACAAAAAACATATATATATATATATATATATATATATATATATAATATATATATAGGATATTAGGTCAAGCAAAAGTAAATAAGTAAATAAAAGTATAGAAGCTAATGAAACAATGAAGCTACACACCAATGGCCTGAGGAGCGACCAGGTGGCAGAAGAGGGAGGCAAACAGGATGAGCACCATGGGATAGAAGACCCAGACCAGGTACTGCAGTGGGATATTTCCCCTCAACTCCCCATAAAACCACTTATAGGCTGAGAGACACGGAGAAGGACAGAAGTGATGGAGCACACGAGGCAGAGAAAGAGAAAGACAGCAAAGAAGACAAAAGCAAGCAGTATGTAGAAGTTTTAGAAATGAGAAGTGGGAAAAACATAGAAAACAGACAAAAGAATAGGACACGAAGCAAAATAGAAGAGGGATTTTCAAATGTTTTGATACATGGACCCCCAAATCGCTCTCTCTCTCTCTCTCTCTCTCTCTCTCTCTCTATATATATATATACAGTATATATACACACACACTCTTTGAATACATGAATTATAATAAATAAGACAGAAATAAGGGGAATTAAATTAGACAATAAATATATACTAACTAAATACAACATATATGCAAAATTAACCAACAGAAGAATAAGTAAAAGGACAAGCAGATGGTATTCTGGGGAGTGTAGTACCTTGTAGACTCTTGGCACTAGCATAGTCCATGGTCCAGCTAACTAATGCCATGGTAATACCCAACAACACCAGAAAGATCCAGTCTCCTCCCAATTTCGAGACGAGGAACTTCTGTACTCGAGCCACACAGTCTGGGAAAACATCACAAACCCTATCAGATACCAAACTTCACATTTATTTCCTACCGGCTTTTGTAAGGCTCATTGTTGTTGACCTCTGCACTTGGAGTAGGATCGGCGTTTCTTGAAGGAGGACGTGTGGCCCTGCTCCTCCTCCTGTCTGTCATGAATGCTGCCTATGTCCAGCTCCACATGGTGGCGGCTTCGGCTGTGACTGCGCCCATGGTGACTGTGATGGTGGTGCCCGTGGTGGTGATGTCCATGTCCATATCCATGTTTTTTCCGCTGTCTCTCCATCAGAAGGCGAGTGGCCTCTCTCCTCTGGGACCCACCAGGGTGCTCCCTGTACTCTCCATATAGCTGAGTACCCAAGAGATCAGATAAATAGCTGACACATTTATCTGAAGCAACTTACAGGTACAATCCCCATGGAACAACTTTTAAAATAACAAAATAAATTACAACTTAACATAAACAACCAAATATTATAATAGTTAACTACAAAAAATCAAATAAATGTTACATATTCACAATATAAATAAAAAACTATTTAGTATTTAATGATACTAAAATCACTCTGGCTTACAGTTACCAGGTCAGATTATTTCCCACTTCAACACACCACCTTCTCTTGTGCAGATATGCAAGATAACTGCTGTTATACTTTCAAATGTGTCCATTTGAAAACAATTTGTATATTTTATGAAAATATCTAATACTGAATAGTCACATTTGTTGCAATAAGATACCAGAAAACCTTTTTAGATGTATTACTTTGGAATATTACAACAGTATTTCAGGAGGTCAAAAGTCAATAAAAGTTGAAGTATTGTTTCATCCAAATGAGTAGAATAAATGCTTTCCTTTGGTATATTATTATTATTACTTCTACTACTATTATTATTAGCATTATTGTTATGACTATTGTTATATTATACATTTTATTTTATTAGTCATATCATATTTTAGAATTTATTTTAACATTTTATTATTCATTAACATTCAAGAAATCATTGTTTTCTGCTGTCACTAGTTCTTCAGATTAACCATGTTAAAATACAATGCATTTTACTCATTTTGACCAAATATAAAAAAAAAGTGCTTTTGATATCACTTTTAATATAAAAACATCGCCCTCATTTTCACCCGAGAGGTGACAGAGGAGAGGGAGTCCAAAAATAGAGGAAAATCTTCTCGACATGCTTCGAGTAAGACCACCGGTGGAGAGTGGCCTCTCTCCTCTGGGACCCACCAGGGTGCTCCCTGTACTCTCCATATAGCTGAGTACCCAAGAGATCAGATAAATAGCTGACACATTTATCTGAAGCAACTTACAGGTACAATCCCCATGGAACAACTTTTAAAATAACAAAATAAATTACAACTTAACATAAACAACCAAATATTATAATAGTTAACTACAAAAAATCTAATAAATGTTACATATTCACAATATAAATAAAAAACTATTTAGTATTTAATGATACTAAAATCACTCTGGCTTACAGTTACCAGGTCAGATTATTTCCCACTTCAACACACCACCTTCTCTTGTGCAGATATGCAAGATAACATTGTTTTCTGCTGTCACTAGTCCTTCAGATTAACCATGTTAAAATACAATGCATTTTACTCATTTTGACCAAATATAAAAAAAAAGTGCTTTTGATATCACTTTTAATATAAAAACATCGCCCTCATTTTCACCCGAGAGGTGACAGAGGAGAGGGAGTCCAAAAATAGAGGAAAATCTTCTCGACATGCTTCGAGTAAGACCACCGGTGGAAGAGCAGTAGTCTACATTTAGAATTATAACCATCCGGATAAGACCCAGACATCTGGAAAATACATTCCCTGTGTCTTCATCCCCACTTACTTTCTCTAACACACACCCATCCCCCAGTAGTTTGACCTGAAACAAAAAGCGTTTCTTTCTTACATATATTAAATGAGATAGATGTGTCATTTAAATCTGCAAATCTCATGAATTACTCTATAAACAATTTGTCAGATTTCCAAATGATAGGGAGAGTAAATGGGATCGGGACATGATGTAGGCCTACCCTGTGTGTCAGCATAACCATAGTGTCATGACTAATTTATTTACAAGCATTTAACCTCCTGTTAAGAATATGAAACAACCTTTATGCACTGCATCAGAGTGATCAACTACAACTTGTTGAAATATTGACTTATGGACTTTCAGATGCTATTTTCAGAATGGAAATAAAGATGCGAAGAGGTAAATGAGGATCTGACAGAAGCGTTCACGTTAAGAAATGTTTTGGCTGCTACACAGCCACAAATGTGATGCTTCATACAAAGTAATTTTAGCACAACAGAATAATTTTTTTGCTGACAGCAGCAAATACAGTCTTTCCACATGCTAAATATTATACTGCCGATGAAGGAATCTCATTTTAGAAATGTAATGAAGTAAACAATGAAAATTACTGTAGATGCAGAGGGGTGCAAAGTGCTCAATACTTCAGTCATTTCACTTGAGACTAACATGATCAATGATGTGTTTGCATGTTTGTGGTGATTTTCATGCTTGATAAGCCTAAATAAAGTGAAAATGGGAACATTTCTGGGCAAAATTTCAGCAGTTCTAACGTTATTGTCTTTTTATGATGAACCACTATTATTGTATCACTTTGTAAATATTATATGGGCAACACATTAAAACATACAAATTAAAAAGAAAATTAAAGGGGTCATATGAGGCGATTTAAATTTTTCCTTTCTCTTTGGAGTGTTACAAGCTCTTGGTGCATAAAGAAGATCTGTAAAGTTGCAAAGACTAAAGTCTCAAATCCAAAGAGATATTCTTTATAAAAGTTAAGAGTCAGCCACACCTACATAAAACGGCTCATTCTAACACGCCCCCACAGTACATTAATGAGGAAAAAAAATTAACTTAAATGATTTTAGCAAATGGCTGCAATATAACAAAGAGTGAAAAATTTAAGGGGGTCTGAATACTTTCCGTACCCACTGTATCTATGTCACTATCTGGGAAGATTTGCATAACGCCGCCCAAATGTTCACGCAAAGAAAGAAGGCATAACTTTTATTCTCGCTGTAGTATTGTTGCCGCCGCCGCTGGCCTTCCAAAAGGGGACGATATCGCTTCGTCATGCCTGGAGCTGATCCGTGCTGGTCGCTGAGGAAATACTACAACTTCGCGCTGTCGATCGCTGGATCGGCTTTTACCGTGGACGACGCGGAGTCCAGCCCGGGGTCATCACATGTGGTTGCTGCAGGCATCACAATATGGTAAGGGACGTAACATTTCTGTCACACGCTTGAGGAATTCGGCCAATCACAACGCACTGGATAGCTGGCCAATCAGAGCACATCTTGCTTTTTCAGACCGATGAGTTTTGTAAAAATCGAAGCGTTTCAGAAAGGCGGGGCATAGAGGAGAAACAATAATGTACAGTATGTGGAAAATAATGTGTTATTTGAACCTTAAACCGCATAAACACATTTCATTACACCAAATACACAAAATAATGTTCTTTTAGCAGCATCATATGACCCCTTTAAACAAACAAATAACCTCATGAATTTGTTTTGCATTAAACTGTCAAAAATTTTACATTGTTACAAAAAAACAATTTCAAATAAATGCTGGTCTTTTTAATCATACTTTTACATTTTTACAAAAAATATATATATTTAAAATAACTGCTGGTCTTTTTGTTCATCAAAGAATCCCCGCATCATGGTTTCCTAAAAAATATTAAGCAGCACAACTGTTCACTGTAAAGAAAAAAATTGGTGACATTTACGGTAAAATACCGGCAGCTGTGGTTGCCAGAGCTTCACCGTAAAAAATATGGTAGCAACATTTTAGGTTTTACAGACTTAACTTAAATTCACAATAAAATACTGTATTTCATTATCTGACGTAATGTTAATAAACCAACATATTGAAGTGTTAATATTTGTTTTGAACCATTGTAATGCACTGATAACCACCAAAAACTGGTGGTGATGAGAAAGTCACATGATGAACCAAAGCTAATCACAAACAGCTTTTCTATGAGCTGAGGAGGGCAATACTTACAGTATATATAGAAGGTGCACAGTATTATTCACACAAACACGAAACCCCATCATAGTGACACACATGATAATGAAATAATGCAATAAACATTAATTTAACAACATTAGATGTAAGATTAAACCCTAATGTAAAAAACTGATAAGAAAAAACTAAGAAGAAACATGTTATTTCAACAAAAAAACATCAAATATGAAGTGTCATGCAGGGAATTCTGGGAGTGTTAATTTAGGGTTTTTCACTGTAAATTATACAATGACTTTTACTTTTTTCACTTCCAAAAAACCATATTTTTTTAACAGTATTTTACTGTAAAATTACATTAAATGTAATTACATTTATTCACCGAATATAGTATGGAAACTTACTGTTAACCAGTTAACAGGTTTTTACTGTAGCATTTTTACAGTCTTTTACTGTTAAAATCACAATCATTTTTACAGTGTTTTTAACGTTGATAATAATCTCAGTTTTGCATAGAAACACATGAGAAATGTTTCTTGAGTACAAAATATTGAGTATAGCATATTAAAAGAGAAAAATTTTATATTAAAATAAAAAACAAAAAATTCTAATATCACTTTACAATAGTACTGTTTTACTGCACATTTGATTAAATTAATGCAGTATGTATTACAAACTTTATAATTGCAGTATAAACTATTATGGTATACACAGCTATAAATTTATATTTTATCTTACTTAAAACCATTTTTCTTTGGCTTTTTTTATTTTTCTTTATTTTACAGCGAATATTAAACATGTGTTACTATTTGCAGTTTTGATTGCATTTAGGCGCTCACTTTCACCTTTGGGATGGGCCCATGTAGATGACAGGTTTATCATGTATCTCTCTTCCTCATAACACATCTCACTCTCATTCCATGCGTCTATCCAGTTACTTTCACCCGTTCCCACAGTACATGTAATCCCTTGCTTTCTCCATATTTCACCCCCTCCTCTCTTCTCATCTCGTACCAGTCTGCTCCTACACCTAGGGTCTTCTAGACCCCCCGCAGACCCCCTCCGTCCTCCATAGATTGGAACTACCCCCTTTCTACCCAGGGCCTGTAATACTAGCCGCTAGGCTAATAATAGCTTCGGTGTGACCCACTGTTCACAGCCACACTTCCCCACACACCTCTGTGTGGAACTTTCGATCTTCCAATTTGTTCATCTGTCTTTCAAGGACTCCCAAGGAAAGTTGGAAACCTATATTCAGGTGACACTGTCATGCTAACTAGCACTAGACAGCTAACAACAAATGTGGCGCTGAGGCAAAGTGTGC